ATAGCAGCCAATTTCAATCTGTATGGTATGAGGTGATAGTAATAGTAATAATAATAATAATAATAATAATAATAATAATAATAATAATAATATATTATCATTATCATGATAGTTGTGAATATTCTCGCATGCCGTGACTTGTAAAAAGCTGTCCTGCTTGCCAGCATACAGTCCTATAATGATTTTATTAATTGTTTTGAACAAGGGGACGAGGGGGAGCCCAAATCTTCACACTCATTCCAAAATCCTAAGCCTGTCATCATGGCTGAAGGCTCAGCTTGCCTTTTATATCCCCCACAGAAAAAAAATGTTAATCCGTATGTGTGGAGATAGTTTCCAATATACACAACAGGGAGAGGAGGTGCCACTCTGTGATGCAATAAATATGTGTTTCTTAAAATGTATCTGTGTATATCTCAATTATTTTGGCCAAGATAATCATGATTTGACCAGTGTTTATATTATTTGGCCTAACATGTGGCAGACAAGGAGGAGAAGCAGAAAGGGGGGGCAAAGTAAAAGTCTCTGCATAGCCTAATATGTAGTAAGTAAACACTGTTTTCAGTCATTTTCAGCCAGCTGTATGCGGACTTATGCATGTTATTTTTTATTTTCCAACTTTTCAGAGAATATGTACATACTTTCATTCTTTTGGATATCCCTAAGCTGAGCACAGACACACAGACACACAGTGAACTCATTCAATTTGCATAAATTAACATGGTATGCATTTAGTCACATTCAACCTGTACAAATTCATAAGTATGCAGTCAATTCATACATATGGAGTCACTCAGTGACTCAGTCACTATGAAGACAGCTGCCCGTTCAGACAGCTGTCTGTAATGCCCATGAATAAAACCATATGTAAAAGGTTTGATAAGAGTTTGTGACTGCTTTTTCATTTTTTGTCCAGAACAGGGCTACTTAAAACTTGGTAATTGATGTTAAATTAAATGATAATGACGGACTACCCACCCAAAATAAGTTAACAAAAAAAATAACTTAAAAAAATCATACAAAATCATACAAAATCATACAACACTCGTTTTCTTCTTCAAGTGTGTCAGATTCAAGTAAGGGCATTGGCACCATTTATTTTCTTGTCATGCCTTAACAAAAAGGAAATAAATGTCACCTTTCCACATTTTTCATTAGGATAAAATACTTTTTGTGTAAGTAAACACACTTGATTAAGTAGACACACCTGCTCCAGATCAAACTTCTTTCATGCACAACGATTTTATAAATTCATGAAATTACTGGTCAGAGTATCTGATTATTTGGAAAGAGTCCACCTGTGATGACTG